TCTATATGTATATGTCTATTTGTGTATGTCTATGTCTATATGTATATGTCTATTTGTGTATGTCTATGTCTATGTGTATGTGTATATGTCTATGTGTGTATGTCTATGTCTATATGTATATGTCTATGTGTGTATGTCTATGTCTATATGTATATGTCTATGTGTGTATGTCTGTCTATATGTATATGTCTATTTGTGTATGTCTATGTCTATATGTATATGTCTATTTGTGTATGTCTATGTCTATGTGTATGTGTATATGTCTATGTGTGTATGTCTATGTCTATATGTATATGTCTATGTGTGTATGTCTATGTCTATATGTATATGTCTATGTGTGTATGTCTGTCTATATGTATATGTCTATTTGTGTATGTCTATGTCTATATGTATATGTCTATGTGTGTATGTCTGTCTATATGTATATGTCTATTTGTGTATGTCTATGTCTATATGTTTATGTCTATGTCTTTATCTATATTTTTATGTCTATGTGTATATGTCTATGTGTGTATGTCTATGTCTATATGTATATGTCTATGTGTGTATGTCTATATGTATATGTCTATGTGTGTATGTCTATGTCTATATGTATATGTCTATGTGTGTATGTCTGTCTATATGTATATGTCTATTTGTGTATGTCTATGTCTATATGTATATGTCTATGTCTTTATCAATATTTTTATGTCTATGTGTATATGTCTATGTGTGTATGTCTTTATCTATATGTATATGTCTATGTGTGTATGTCTGTCTATATGTATATGTCTATGTGTGTATGTCTGTCTATATGTATATGTCTATTTGTGTATGTCTATGTCTATATGTCTATGTCTATGTCTTTATCTATATTTTTATGTCTTTATGTCTATGTGTATATGTCTGTCGTTATCTTTATTTTTATGTCTATATCTGTCTGTCTATGTGTATATGTCTATGTCTATATGTCTATTTCTATATGTCCATATGATTATGTCTATATGACTGTCTATGTGACTTTTTCTATATGTCCATATGACTGTCTATATGTCTATGCCTATGTCTATATGACTATGTCTATATGTCTGTCGATATGACTATGTCTATATGTCTGTCTATATCTATGTGACTTTGTCTAAATGTCTAGTTCTATATGTCCATATGACTATGTCTATATGTCTATGTCTATATGTCTGTCTATATGACTATATGTCTATCTATGTCTATATGACTGTCTATATGTCTGTCTATATGACTATGTCTATCTATATGACTGTCTATATGTCTGTCTATATGACTATGTCTATATGTCTATGCCTATGTCTATATGTCACTTTGTCTATATGTCTATTTCTATATGTCCATATGACTATGTTTATATGTCTGTCTATATGACTATGTCTATATATCTGTCTATATGACTATGTCTATATGTCTATGCCTATGTCTATATGTCTGTCTATATGACTATATGTATATATGTCTGTCTATGTCTATATGACTATGTTTATATGTCTGTCTATATGACTATGTTTATATGTCTGTCTATGTCTATATGTCTATTTCAATATGTCCATATGACTATGTCTATATGTCTATGCCTATGACTAAATGACTATGTCTATATGTCTGTCTATATGACTATGTCTTTATGTGTATGCCTATGTCTAAATGACTATGTCTATATGTCTGTCTATATGTCTATGCCTACGTCTAAATGACTATGTCTATTTGTCTGTCTATATGTCTATGTCTTTATGTCTGTCTATATGTCTATCTATATGTCTATGCCTATGTCTAAATGACTATGTCTATATGTCTGTCTATATGTCTATGCCTATGTCTAAATGACTATGTCTATATGTCTATCTATATGTCTATGCCTATGTCTAAATGACTATGTCTATATGTCTGTCTATGTCTTTATGTCTGTCTATATGTCTATGCCTATGTCTATGCCTATGTCTATGTGTCTGTCTATATGTCTATGCCTATGTCTAAATGACTATGTCTATACGTCTATGCCTATGTCTAAATGACTATGTCTATATGTCTGTCATTATGTCTATGTCTTTATGTCTGTCTATATGTCTATGCCTATGTCTAAATGACTATGTCTATATGTCTGTCTATATGTCTATGCCTATGTCTAAATGACTATGTCTATTTGTCTGTCTATATGTCTATGTCTTTATGTCTGTCTATATGTCTATCTATATGTCTATGGCTATGTCTAAATGACTATGTCTATATGTCTGTCTATATGTCTATGCCTATGTCTAAATGACTATGTCTATATGTCTGTCTATGTCTTTATGTCTGTCTATATGTCTATGCCTATGTCTATGCCTATGTCTATGTGTCTGTCTATATGTCTATGCCTATGTCTAAATGACTATGTCTATGTGTCTGTCTATATGTCTATGCCTATGTCTAAATGACTATGTCTATATGTCTATGCCTATGTCTAAATGACTATGTCTATATGTCTGTCTATATGTCTATGTCTTTATGTCTGTCTATATGTCTATGCCTATGTCTATGCCTATGTCTAAATGACTATGTCTATATGTCTGTCTATATGTCTATGTCTATATGTCTTTGTCTATATGTATATATATAATTATATATCTATGTATATCTATGTCCATAAGCAGGCTTTCATAACTAGGACAAACAATATACTAGGGTGAACAATTACCCATCCACCCAGGTAAACAATTACCCATCCACACACCAGGGTGAACAATCACCCGTCCACCCAGGTAAACAATTACCCATCCACCCACCAGGATGGGTGGGTGACTGAGTTAGGGGTAGGTGGGTGGACGGGTGGATGGATAGAGGAGTAGGTGGGTGGATGGGTGGGTGGATAGGTGGGTGGGTGAAGGTGAGGTGAAATTGGGTTTAACGTCGCGTCCAAGATTATTGCACTTATATAGCGACGTGCATGCACGTGTATGTGTGTGTGTGGCTGCTTGTACTAGTCCGGACTGATGCCGATTTATAGTGCTAGCTCACTGAGATACCATGCCGCAGTTTAACATGAATACCTCACTCAGACACAGTATACTGACTCCGAGCCGACCAGTCCTTGTTTTAGCCCCTTAATGCCGAGCGCCAGACAGGGTAACAACAAGTACAATCTTTTAACGTCTTTTTGTATGACGCGGCCCGGGATCGAACCCTGGACCTTCCGCTCTCCGGGCGGACGCTCTACCACAAGACCACGGAGGCGGTTGGGTGGGTGAAGGAGTGACTGGGTGGGCGAGTGAGGGGTAGGTGGGTGGATAGGTGGGTGGGTGAGTGAGGGGTAGGTGGGTGGATGGGTGGATAGGTGGATGGGTGAAGGAGTGACTGGATGGGTGAGTGAGGGGTAGGTGGCTGGATGGGTGGGTGAGTGAAAGTGACTGGGTGGGTGAGTGAGGGTGGATGGGTGGGTAGGTGGGTGGATAGGTGGGTGGATGGGTGGGTGGGTGAGTGAAGGAGTGACTGGGTGGGTGAGTGAGGGGTAGGTGGCTGGATAGATGGGTAGGTGGGTGGATGGGTGGGTGTGTGAGTGAGGGGTAGGTGGGTGGATGGGTGGGTGAGTGAAAGTGACTGGGTGGGTGAGTGAGGGTGGATGGGTGGGTAGGTGGGTGGATAGGTGGGTGGATGGGTGGGTGGGTGGGTGGGTGGGTGGGTGAGTGAAGGAGTGACTGGGTGGGTGAGTGAGGTGTAGGTGGCTGGATAGATGGGTGAAGGAGTGACTGGGTGGGCGAGTGAGGGGTAGGTGGGTGGATAGATGGGTGGGTGAGTGAGGGTGAGTGAGGGGTAGGTGGGTGGATGGATGGGTGGATAGGTGGGTGGGTGAAGGAGTGACTGGATGGGTGAGTGAGGGGTAGGTGGCTGGGTGGGTGGGTGAGTGAAAGTGACTGGGTGGGTGAGTGAGGGTGGATTGGTGGGTAGGTGGGTGGATGGGTGGGTGGGTGAGTGAAGGAGTGACTGGGTGGGTGGGTGAGGGGTGGATGGGTGGATGGGTGGATAGGTGGTTGGGTGAAGGGGTGGGTGAGTGAGGGATGGATGGGTGGGTGGTTGAAGGAGTGACTGGGTGGGTGGGTGGGTGGGTGGGTGGGTAAAGGAGTGACTGGGTGGGTGGGTGAGTGAGGGGGTGAAGTGGTTTGTGAGGGCTCAATATCCCAGCTATTCCATGACTTCCTGTAAATAATATAATCAGGAGCAGGCAAACCAGTGACAGATAGCATGAGAAACAATCCCACCCATTGGGGCATAACGACCTCTGTTGACTTGACATGTAATAAGAGATATCTACTTGATTATATGGAGTGGTTGAAATGTGTAACAAGAGTCATCAGAAAGATGGCATATTCCCCCCCCCCCCCCCCCCCCTTGAAGAAGCATACATTGTTTACCCACAAAAGATCCACCATGGTCGCATCCATATGAAATGGAAAGTAAAACAAGTGTGTTTCTGTGGGTTTTTTTATGCAACCAAATTACAAATTACAAGAAACAATAACTAAACAAGTGTATAGTCACCGAAGTCATCTATATCCCCCTCCCATTTTAACATGTTATGGTCCCAAACCAGGTAACTGACCCAACATTTCTCTTAGCCCATGTCAAAATAGCTGCAATGGAAATTCTAAAAATAAACATTTCTAAAACTCCTTAATATCACATGGCACCAGTTCAGTATGTGCTTTATATATAGACATGAAATGTTTGGCAAGGAAATATTCAACAGTATATTTGTTATACTCCATAAGTGAGCCCACCCTATATTAAAACTTAAATCCAACTTGTTGCCATGGAAACGTAAAAAATATAAATTTTATAAAATTCCTAAATAGCAAAAGGCACCACTTCAGTTTGTGCCTGGTAGACATGCAAAATTTTGTAAGAAAGTATTTAATAGTTTTTGAGTTACGCTCCGGAAACGAACACCACCCTTACAGAACCTAAGTCCAACTTGTTGCCATGTAAACGTAAAAAATAAAATTTTCTAAAGTTCCTAAATAGCAAAAGGCATGACTTCAGTATGTGACTGATAGATTTGCCAAGTTTCGATCAAATACACTGAATTGTTTTTTAGTTCTGCCCCAGAAAGGAAATGGTTACGGACGGACAGACAGAGAGACAGACAGACTGGCTGATCGCTATATCCCCCCGCATTATATGCCGGTGGTATAAAAACCAAATGGTGGTTGCTTAATGATGGAGCCATTTGTGTTTTGTGTATTGAGGTCAACAAGAAAAACAAACAGGGCAGAATTTGAATTTTAAATGGACAAATTTATTCTTATTAATCCATGAATTTGACCATTTATGGGTTGATTTCAACGCCATATTTAAAAGCCCCAGATGATCCCCTCCATGCTAAGTATGTCCCAGCAATGTCCCAGCGATGTCCCAACAATGTCCCAGCAATGTCCCAGCGATGTCCCATTAAATATCCCAGCGATGTTCCAGCAATGTCCCAGCAATGTCCCAGCGATGTTCCAGCAATGTCCCAGCGATGTCCAATTAAATATCCCAGCGATGTTCCAGCAATGTCCCAGCGATGTCCAGCAATGACCCAGCTATGTCCCATTAATATCCCAGCGATGTTCCAGCGATGTCCCAGCAATGTCGCAGCGATGTCCCAGCAATGTCCCATCTATGTCCCAGCAATGTCCGAGCTATGTCCCAGCAATGTCCTAGCTATGTCCCACCAATGTCCCATTAATATCCCATTAATATCCCAGCGATGTTCCAGTGATGTCCCAGCAATGTCCCAGCAATGTCTCAGCAATGCCCTAGCGATGTTCTAGCAATGTCCCAGCAATGAACTAATCATTGTTAAATCCTACTTGAAAAGAGAAATTAAATCTAATCTGTCTCAAAACAATACCATGGAATTGGATTGGGAACTTTGAATTTCTATGTCAGGTACACACCACTATGAACAGAGTCAAAGTCAAACTTGGTGCTACGGAAACGGAAAAAATACAAAATTCTAAATGGCCCTAAATAGCAAATGGCACCATTTGGCACAGTTTCAAGAAAGAGTACCCATAGGTTTTAGAATTATGGTCCAGACAAACACACCACTATGAACAGAGTCAAAGTTAAACTTGGTGCTATGGAAACGGAAAAAATACAAAATTCTAAATGCCCCTAAATAGCAAATGGCACCATTTGGCACAGTTTCAAGAAAGAGTACCCATAGGTTTTAGAATTATGGTCCAGACAAACACACCACTATGAACAGAGTCAAAGTTAAACTTGTTGCCATGGAAAGAGGAAAAATTAATATTTTTGCAAAAGGCACCACTCTTGCCCATGATTAATATACGTACGAAGTTTGGATGAAAAATGTGGAACAGGTTTTTAGTTGTACCCGGAAATGACACCAATCTCCTTTTCAGATACGTTTAACTTGTTTCCATGGAAACAGGGGAAAATCAAATTTTGAAAAATTCCTAAATAGCAATAGGCACCACTTCAGCCCTTGGTTAATGCATGTTCCAGGTTTGGATGAAAAGTCTTTCACAGTTTTGAAGTTATGCTCCAGGAACGACACCGACTTTTTGAGACTACGTCAAAATTGTTTCCATGGAAATCGAGAAAATTAAATATTTACACAAGTAAAGAATATTAAATTCTAAAACTTTGTAACAAAGAGAGTACCCTGGAACTATTGGTTACCATGAAGGAAGATCAAGAGCAAGATGAGCACAGTCTGCAACTTTAGCCACTGGCCCCAAGCCCGAGTCTAGTAATGTGCTGTTCAGTCTAGTAGGCTCAGCCAATAAAAGTCCAGAAGATAACACTAAAATGTATCAAACATGACACTTGAGCCAAGTTAGTGCTACTTGACTCAAGTGTTGGGCACAGACTGAATCAGCAACCAAGTGTGTGTGTGTGTGTGTGTGTGTGTGTGTGTGTGTGTGTGTTTCGAGAAAAATGTGTTTAACCTGAAGCTATGTAAACAACACTTCGTAATCGAAATCTACACATGCAATGATGCATTTGGCCAATATACAGTCTCTTTGGACCGTTTGACTCATCTCCAGAAGGTGACTTTTACCAGAAAACGCATAAACCACCGTTTTGACACCCTGTAATCTAAATCTACACATGCTTTGATGACGGATCTGTTCACTGTACAAGTCTATTGCACCACTTACATGCTTAAGACACCCTGTAATCTAAATCCACCAATGCTGTGATGTATCTGGTCACTTTACAGTCTATTTGACCACTTGACCCATCTCCAGAGAATGACTTTAACCAGAAACAATACAAACCACCCTTAAGACACCCTGTAATCTAAATCCACCAATGCTGTGATGTATCTGGTCACTTTACAGTCTAGTTGACCACTTGACCCATCTCCAGAGAATGACTTTAACCAGAAACAATACAAACCACCCTTAAGACACCCTGTAATCCCAATCTACACTTGATAATTATGATGTAGCTGGCAAGCGCGGATGCAGCATTCTGAAAAGGGAGGGGACCCCCCTCTGGATCCGTGTAAGTCTGGTCTAAGACCACAGTCTATTTGAACACTTGACCATTTCCAGAAAATAACTTGAAACAGAAAAAGCACAAAACACCCTTAAGACATACTGTATTCGAAGTGTACCCATGCTATGGTGTTTCTGGTCACTATACCCAGTCAATTTGACCTCTAGACCCATCTCAAGGGAATGACTTTCGGTTACACACAACCAAATGTTTTCCTATAGACTTCTATTGTAGATTTAAATCTTTCTAAAAAATAACTGGGCATTCAACAGCCAGGTATGCACAGTCTGGCCTTAAAGGTTGGTTGGTTGGTTGGTTGGTTGGTCGGTTGGTTGGTTGGTTGTTTAACGCCGCACTCAGCAATATTCCAGCTATATGACGGCGGTCTGTAAATAATCGTGTCTGGACCAGACAATCCAGTGATTGATATCATGAGCATCGATCCACGCAATTGGGATCGATGACATGCATCAACCAAGTAAGCGGGCCTGACCACCCAATCCCGTTAGTCGCCTCTTACGACAAGCATAGTCGCCTTTTATGGCAAGTATGGGTTGCTGAAGACCTATTCTACCCCAGATTTTCACGGGTCCAGGCATGTAGAGAGCTAAATTTCAGAACACAAAGGTTGGTCGGTTGGTTGGTTGTAGACTGTACAAGCAGATGGAGGGTGGAAATAAGGGAAATAAATAAATACAGGGGAATAAATTTAAATAATGTAAGCTTGTCACCTGATGCCATGTACAACAATCCACTGTGTTTCAGCCAGCCACTCAAGTAACCAATGTGGCCACTGAGATCGAGACAGGTGACCACCAAATTTTGGCTTTAAACACAAAACCAAAACTTTGTTTAAAGCACAGTTTAGTTGACAATATTTCTTGTGTAAACAACCCAGACTGCACATCTGATGTGCACATGTCAGAATGAATTGGAAATGAAAACAGCTGACTGCAGTGTTTCAGGGACTTAAGGAAAGACCAAATTGAGGAAGAATTTGACAACAGTTGCTGAAAATGCAGCTCACTCTGAAATTAATGAAGCAGGTGAAATGGATGTTTGCCGACAAACTTTTCCCCATACAGGGCATAAAACGGGCCAGCAACAGAAAGTTTATTAAAAATTCTAAATTTGTTGTGGATACCTAGAACCAAACAAGATAAACAAAACTTGGCAAATACATTTTCTGTAGACTGTGCATCCAGATGTGCAGGTGAGTTTTCAGCTGCTTACTCAGGTCATGCAGGTGACCTGCCAAGGTTGAAGAAATCTCTCTCCTAGACTTCTGATACTATTGCAAAATGTTATATGGGGAATCACACAAAAAAACAGAAAGCAGTCAATGGTTTGCAAAGGGGAGAAGCAAAATTTGTTATTGTACAGTAAATATTTGGATAAAAACTTCAAAATTGGTGACAAAGTCAGAAAACTTTCAAAATTTGAGACAATACACCAACTTTCTTCTCGGCCCTAAACCTGATGGAGAAGACCCAAACCAACCTCAACAGTCAACAGTGTGAAGCAACAAACAAGGCAATGCTCGGTCATTACCTCGTGATACAACCTTTGCTCGAAACTTCCATGGAAGAGCCCACAGTGCTGTTCATCTCATCAACTGCGGGAGTCCAGCAAAGTCAACTTCGACTAGGGCTTGGGTGCACTGTCACTACAAAAGGAAAAATAGATGATGAGATTAGCAAAAGCCATAATAAAGTACTTACAGCTAAAACATACAAGAAATCCCAGTAAGTAATGACATGTCAAATGGTCAACATTTACATCTACGAAAGGCTCTGGCACAGCTGATTCTGATATAGTGTAATAGAACCTTTAACCAGAAACAGCGCAAACACCTCTAACTCTTTCAACACAAGCCAACCAGAGTTATTTCCCTTGGTACATCAAGTTCCCACAGCCATTGAATGCCAGTACACCAAGTTCCCAGGGACTTGTTAAAGAAAACTATTCCTTTCTTTAAACAGTTCTGGTATATTTATGTTTGTGGCAATACCAACAAGCTACTTATCACTGCAATGCCAAGATTGTGGAGTATTTGAAAATTAATGAATAGATATCTTAATTTCTACCATTCTTTAATTAAAGGTAATTACAGGTAAACGATCAGTTAAAAACAGACAACATTTCAGAATAGGAAGCTATAAGGATATTTACTGTAACAGAAAATGTGATAACAGGAAATAAATAGTGTCTTCTGATCTTCGGGCAGCAGGAGGAAAGTCATCTTCCCGAAACAAGGGAGTTAATTGACTATAAAAGCCGTTTCAACCCTTGTATAACTAGGCTGGAATTCTGGAGTTCCATTGTGGCTAGACTAACAAGTCTTTGCATAGTCCAATCAAAATCGCATAAGAAACTAGGTTCGTAAACAACATTGATTCAAAGTGCAGAATTTGTTCGACTGCAGGATTTCCAACGCATGTGTACTGTCAACTGGATGTTGACAGATATTTTCCAAATCTTTTCATGTTTCTAATCATGGTACTCCAATTATCTGATGCGCTTCACGAGGCAAGACCCATTTTATTACAATATAGATCTTGATTATCGATCAGATCATCTTGACTATGCGCAGCCATATTGTTTGAAGCAAATGCAAGTGCTATGAGAGGGAGGAGGAAACTGATTGGTCAGCTGGAGGGACACAGAAGGAACATAACTTGTAATAGCCACTGGTTGGGCTATGATCCAGCCACGAAATTCCAACATAGTTCGGCAAGGGTGGAAACTGGACTTTTATAGTCAGTTACTTCCCTTGCCTCCGGAAGATGGCCAAGGCGTTGCACAGGTGAGAACTGATATGGAGGTGTGGAATTGCTTCACCTGAAACAAAAAATAAAATATTTGTCAAGTAATACATGTTTGATTTCTGTAATATGACTGCTGTTTTACCTTTTTGTGTTATATTTTCAATGGAACCACGGAACAGGGGTGTAATGGTAGAAGTATACTCGCTGGGCCAGGTAAACTCGTTAGCCAAGGAAAATATGAGAAATAACACAAAAGGTTGAAATAAATTAGAAGATTATCGTATAGCATACAACAGGATTTAAATGTTTTATCATCACAAGATGACATAGGTTACTGAAGGAGCTTGATTGGCATTTGCGATGAAAGTGGATTATCTCCCTTGGATTGGTCACTAGAGGTTACATACAACCAAATGTTTTCACATAGACTTCTATAGTAACGTTACATTTTTTTAAAAATAAATAAGTATTCAACAGCTATTACCTGCACGTGTGTGCACAGACTGGCCTTAGAGCAGCAAAATAAACAAAAAAATGACTAGCTTAGCCAGCTCCTTTTCCTAGTACAGGAAGCTGAACACACTACCTCAGTTTCGCACCAAATGTCACCTACTTGAAAATAGCTCGTACCCAGCATAAGTCTTCATGTTGAAAAAAACAGTACTAAATATAGAAAAACATGGTCCGTTTGATAACTGGATGGATGTACATTTAAAAGACATAAAAATCTTACACAATATCCTCCAATCACAGCCTGCAGATATCTCTCAATCTGCACTGAAGGCTCCCTACAAAAACGTTCTGATTTGGTGTAGTAGGACCTGTAGTCAAATCAGAAAACATCTGCACTTGTCAAATGTGTGATTTATGTATTGTATATATATGTAGCTTCTCAGAAAAAAATGGAAATTGGATTAAACTTCAGTACTTGTTCCTACCCTGCATGTCTATATGGCACCAGAATACATAGTTTTGATGCACCGAAAGAGTTGTGAGAGCTTAATGATGTACACTTCATAAATGTTTTACTAAATGTATCTCTGAATTACTAAAGAAGTTTCTACCTTCATGCACTGACCATGGAAGTTAATTCATATTTCATAAAAGAAGGGGGTCAAGGGTCAATTCCATAAATGATTGAGGCTGCATAGATCATATCACCCTAAAATATTTTTTCAACTAAAAACAAATGAACAAATCTTAAAACCTCAAAACCAGTAACAATACATATTTAAAATTGAGTAGTGGACTTTTGTTTGTGTTCCTTTGCTGACATCATCAGAACATAGCGGAGTCTGCTACATTCATGGAATATGGTTTTGACACTCATGACATGATGCGATTGATATTGTTTGAGATTGCTCGAACTTACACCATGCATTGTTTATATAATAAAACACTCAAATGACTGTCAGCATTGGTAAATCATCTATGGAGGGGCTATCACAAATGTGTGTGCTTTCATTTACTCCAAAAATCAAAAGTATAATCACCTATGATATAAGCTGGTGGCATAAGTACACATGGAAAGGAATCAGAAAAATTACTCAAAGTTGGACAGAGAGCATGGAATTCAGGCCAGCAATTGGCAAGGGACACATTAAGCAGCTTTAAAGTCATCATATATGTAAGGCTGTATAATGAACTTTACCAGAAAATAGGAAGTAAAGGGGTGCATTGTTGCCCGCAATCTCAAACACTGACCAGTGAACATACCGCCTATTAAAGACGAGAAATGGAAATGGACCCTCAAGTAGAAGAAAGCACTTTGAAACCACAACATGGAAGAAAATTACACTTACCTCTATTGATATATTTAGTTAAGACTTTAAAATACTCACAGGAAATAAAAAAAAATTACTGTTTAATGTTTCAAGGTGGCTAAACTTGCTAATTTCAGTTATTTGGCAGTTTCAAGGAAACAAAGTTGAAATTTCATATAATTTAGAAAATGTACAGCTTATCCTGACAAAAATGAAATTCTTTTTATTTACACAACAGTGTCATGCAATACCAGCTTAAAAAGTGTTTCTCTCCAATAATTTATGGGTTTACAGGGGATGGAAAGATACAATGCATTTTACTTAACAGGGGAGATAATTTAGTTTTGTCGAACACTATCACATTCTTAACAGATGATTTCAGAACCATAATATTACATTCCAAAAGAGCCAGTGGATATTATTTTCATCTAAGCAGGTTCTGGGGCTGGTGTATAGCCCTTACTTCATGTTTGCAAACTGAAAAACTGCACAGTGAGGCATTAAGGGAGCACTGTCAGAAATGTCTAGTGCATGAGGGTGATCTTATTATGGCACTTTATAGTGAGCAACAGAGGGGCCTCAAGTGGACTGGGGTTCTTAAATGTACTTAATGTACCTGCAAGTTCCACAACTTCTTCAAGGTAATAGAGCGCAGCGAGGCAAAACAAGGGTTGTCGATCACACACTGCCAAGACCAGACTTCAGATCAGCTTCTCCAAAAGCCAAATTGGATGTGAAAACTTCTATTTCTTCTGCATGAGTGCACATCTACCTCCCCAGTCAACATCAGGCATGCTAAAACCTGAAAACAGTGTTGAGACAATATCAACTGTCAAACCATTTTGGATATAACAGCCAGGAGTCAGTTCTTGAGGGGAAAAAATAATTATTTGAAAGTCACATTATTGAAAAATAAGTCTGTTTTAAGAAACTTAATAAAAAAATGGCATCATTTATTCACACAAAAGCACCTAACAGAAAGAAATAATGGTATGCTTGTGATGAGTTCGACCACAATACGGAGCAACATTCATTTCCAGGCCATCCAAAATCAACCCAAAATGTCCCCAACTTCAATGTCATTATTTTAAATTTGCCTCCTCATTCATGCCAATGTGTATCCATGGTGACATATAAACAGGAAAGCCTATAAAGTATGAATAACTGAAACGTGCACTCACCCTACAGGTTACACACAACCAAATGTTGTCCCACAAACTTCTACAGTAACTTTATATTTAAAAAAAAAATTAAATAAGTATTCAACAGCTATTACCTGTATGTGTGTGCACAGATTGGCCTTAGAGCAGTAATAAAAACAAACAAATGACTAGCTTACCCAGCTCCTTTTCCGAGTACCGGAAGCTAAGCACACTACCCCAAGTTTCGCACCAAATGTCACCTACTTGAAAATAGCTGTGGTCACATTCAGCGTAAGTCATCATGTTAAGAAAGACATTACTAAATATAGAAAAAACATGGTCACTTTTAATAACTGGATGGATGTACATTTAAATTTTTTAATTTTGTTTGTTTGTTTGTTGTTTTACACCGCACTCAGCAATAGTCCAGCTATATGACGACGGTCTGTAAAATAATCGAGTCTGGACCAGACAATCCAGTGATCGACATCATGAGCATCGATCCACACAATTGGGATCGATGACATGTATCAACCAAGTCAGCGAGCCTGACCACCCGATCCCGTTTGTCACCTTTTACGACAAGCATAGTCGCCTTTTACGGCAAGCATGGGTTGCTGAAGACCTATTCTAGCCCGGATCTTCACGGGTCGTACATTTAAAAGACATAAAAATCTTACACAATATCCTCCAATCACAGCCTGCAGACATTTCGTGATCTGCACTGAAGGCTACGAAAACCGCACTGTCCCAACTGGTTCTGATTTGGGGTAGTAGAACCTAGAGGCATAGGTGACTGATGAATCTTGATTGGCAGGTGCCCTGAAAGTGGATTATCCACCTTGGATTGATCACCAGGCATTGGTTACTGAAGAAGCTTGATTGGCACGTGCAGTGACAGTGGATTATCTCCCTTGGATGTGGCAGTATTCTTCACCTGAATAAAAAGGATTTTTACAGTTTTTCTTGTTGAATAGTTGAAATATGAATGCTTTTGAGTAATATGAATGCTATATTTGAACCTAGAATAATAAATGCTCATATTTTGCAGCTGTAACACACCAAAAATATCATCTCGTTAACCTTGGTTAGTGAGACAAGAGAAAAAAAAGAGAGGAAAAAAGACAGAGGGCTGAAATAAATCAGTGTACTATCCAATATCATACACAGGCAATGCAAATTAATATGTTTTCAAATACTAGGTGACTGTTGGAAGTGGATTGACAGGTGTTTAATGTGTGGATTATCTCCCTTTGATTATTCTTCACTTAACATGAATGTTTTTAAAAAAACAAAAACACTTTGATGACTTGTTTGGTTCTACGATTTTGTATTTGAGATCAGGTTACTCTAAGTAGAACTATATATAAAAAATCATGCCATCCTTGAAAGAAAGGGAGACTGTTTGGATTGTTTGTTTGTTTAATGCCACAATCAGCAATATTCCAGCTATATGACAGTGATCTGAAACTAATCTAGTCTGAACCAGATAATCCAGTGACTGACATCACGAGCATCGATCCATGCAATTGAATATGATGACATGCATCAACAAACACACATGCATACATATAAATATATACATACATATACACACACACACACACATACACACACACACATACATACATACATACACGCACATATATATATATATAAACAATGGTATATAAAATAGCAAATTTTCATGGACAGAAGATGTATCACATTCAAAACTGAGCCTGCTGTCACCGGGACTCAAATAACAACTAAATGTATTACTTGGATGCTACGCTACAGGACCAGACTGGAAGGAGGTTAATCACAGATATCGGCGCCAAGACTGCACACTGGTGTGGTAGTTGACGAGGCATCATTTGTAGGGATTCACACACAGAGGGACACTGCACTTCCAGCATATTGTTGATGATCTGGCTCCCTTAAATGGATTTTCAGCATATTCTGTACCTGGATGCTGGACTGAAAATACCTTGTGTATCTTTTCACAAACCAGACACCGGGTGTCATAGCTCCCTGAAGGCACAGGCCAGTGACCGCAACCATCCATGATGTTAATCACTGGATTGTCTGGTCCAGACTCGATTATTTACAGACTGCCGCCATATGGCTGGAATATGGCTGAGTGAAGTGTTAAACAAAAAACTAACAATGAGATAAGCATTATATATGGCAAGTTCCCTCAATATGTCAATACCATTTCATAGTGTTTTTTGTCTTATTTTGGTGTTTAGTTTGGTTGAGTCTATCTGTCCCTCCCATAGACTTGCCATAATCCTGTACACATGGAATGCTGGGAAGGATCTTACGTCTGCCGTCCTTCTTCCTCCTCTTGGCCGTCAAACTGTCTTCCTCAGGAGAGTGTGCTGTGCTAAGGTCGAAGACAACCTTGTTATCCTTCCACATGGCAGCAACAAAGTCCCCACAAGCTCACCAGTCGATGGTCCCTCTCTGCAGGTGATTTGTGTCTCAACCTGAAGGGAGATCAACAGCGGGGTAGCCCGCCATTCGTGTCCTTCTGCAACAGAAAGTCACCAAAGGTAGCACTGGTATAAACGTTGTCTGTGTAGATGACATGACCCTTGTTCCTTATGTTTTCACACAATTTGACAACTACCTGCCCAGCAAGGCCCAAGGAACCATCGCCTTGTCCACTGACACTTGCTTGTGGAGGTTGTAATGACTCTAAATGCAACAGAAAGTCACCAAAGGTAGCACTGGTATAACGTTGTCTGTGTAGATGAAATGACCCTTGTTCCTTATGTTTTCACACAATTTGACAACTACCTGCCCAGCAAGGCCCAAGGAACCATCGCCTTGTCCACTGACACTTGCTTGTGGAGGTTGTAATGACTCTAAATGCTGCTCTCATACTGTCAAGAATGTATCTGATTTATTACAATTTGTCACCTGGCACAGGTGTGTCATCATTGACAGGTGAGGACCTACTTATCTGCACAAATCTGGATCTAGAAAATACTTCAGTTCCTGGACACTGTAACCAGCTATAACTGGTCAAGCCTGGCAACATCCATGTACATCAAGACACCATCAAAAGCCTTCATTTCTTCCACAGTAACATCGTGCCAGTCACCTTTGTTGTGGTCAGGATCTTGGGGCTGTTTGATGTTAGCATTGTCATTTATTGATGTCACCATTTGTTGAAAGTCATCATCTGAATAAAACAACTGAAACGAAAAGAATATCTATCATAATGGGACCAGGATAGAGCGTCTGCCCGAAGGGCAAAAGGCCGGAGGTTTGATATGAAGCTGTGTCATACCAAGGACATTGAAGAATGATACTTGTTGTTACCCTGCCTGGCGCAAGGCAATAAGGGGCTAAACCAAGAGCTGGTCCTCTTAGAGTCAGTATACTGTGTGTGAGTTGCGAGTTCATGTAACAGCGCGAAATGGTATCTCAGTGGGACACCAGATTAGTACAAGTAGCCACACACATACTCACACACACACACATCCATGCACATTGCTATATAAGTGAAATAATCTTGAATGTAATGTTAAACCTCCCATTCCCCTCACATCACTAAACAACAGTGAGTTAGTGAGTGAGTGAGTGAGTGAGTGAGTGAGTGAGTGAGTGAGTGAGTGAGTTATGAAGCTCAGACACTCAAGTCACTGTTGCCATGGCAAGCAAACTAGGGAGTCTTCTTCGACGCCTGCAGACGCCTGTAGGCTCATAGGGTGCCTCTATACAAGCACACAGGACCTTAAGCAGATTCCACTTTGGAAAATGTGAGGGGCATTTTTATATACTTCAGTTGAAATTACTTCATGAGGCCATTTTTGACTGGATGGGTGCCGATGGAGAGTCCATCATGTTGGAGGAATGATGCTAAAACGGATTGGCATCCCTCAATCGTATCAAGTCTGAAGTTATTCTCCTGGCAGAGATGTAGCAAAAAACAATGTTACCATGGAAATAGTTACTGCCATGTGTCCAAACTCATCATTATCCACTAGGAGACTTGGGGATGTAGGGACCACTCCGAAGACACAATCTTGTTCTTCCGGTATAAACAGTCCACCGAAAGGTTTAATGTCTGGGCGATGGGGCGGGCCTCCAATGTGCAGCTGATCCAGGCTGTTCCCAACTCAGACGTCTGACTTTGACAATCTGTGATCCAACAAATACAAAATAATGGTCAGGGTCAAGACAATAATTTCAAATATCCTCCTCATCACAACAGACCAAAGGGAGCTTACTCTTCTACCAATGTTGCGAATTACAGTTCAGATACTGTTGTTTGTTTGTCACAGTCGCAGATATTCCAGCTACATGACATCTCCATCTTTATGAGTTATTGGAACAAACCCGCAGACCTGCGATGACTTTGAGGCAGCATACTTCGTACTCACAGACATATCAACCAGTTGTCTGGAGCAACGCCACTCATAAACCTGGTAGAAACTGGTGGATGTCAGGTGGTACTGGACCCTTGGGTGAATCTGTCCTCTGAGTAGTTTTGTCATCTGTGTGGATTTGTCATCTGGGCGGATTTGTCATCTGAGTAGATTTGTCATCTGGGCTAACTAATGTTATCATTTAACTGTTATCACCTGTCATAAATAAGAATTCTACCATGAATTTGGAATTTACTTGATTCTGATTGGTCAATCAGAGGCTATTAAATTACAATACACCCCCCCTGATTGAAACAGCTGGTTTGACGGCCGCATCACCTCGGAAGCTAATATTTATAGAATAGTATTATTTTCAGTCATTGTCGGAAGGCATATTTAAATTATTATATCTACAATTACAGGTTACAAAATGCACAGATGCGGTTACTACAATATTCAAAGGATGTGCGGCAATACATTTCGTGCAGAAAACATGTTAGAAATCTACAAAGGAAATGTATTTATGTTTTGGAGACAATAGAGAGCTTGGAATTTTGGCACTTTTCTATATATGATTTGTTTTCTTTAGGGATGCCCACCTCATGTTAGCCTACCAAGTTGCCATGCTTATATGCTTTCAATGCCTGTCATATGTTCGAGTGAAGTTTTACAGTGTAAACAAACTGCTTGAGTATATACAGCACCATATTTTGTTCGGTGACTTTTTATCTCAGATCGATAACCCACTCAAAACACTGGACTCAACCCATGCTGCTTCACTCAGTATATTTGCTCATGCCAAAGAGTTTGCGTTTTATTTAGTCATGGTAGAATGGAGATAAATATACTGTGTTTTCAATGTAGAGCTAGGTTACCTGTAGATTTAACCGCGCTAAATTTAACATTTGAAACCAGGCGCTGCGCGTTCTGTTCCAAATTCAACCTAGCGCGGTTTCAAAAATAATCAATTATCAGCATCTGACAAAATCTAAGTGCATGTCATTTATATTCCATCTCAACAGCCAGTCAGTAACCAACTCTGGGCCTGGCCAACCTGTGATTGATGGTATGAGCACCAATCAAGTCATCAAGGATAGATTTCATAAATCAGCCAGGGAACAAAACTTTCGTTACCTAATTCACAGAGCTCATACACAAACCACAATTACCTGTCACTGTACAAGTCTATATGACCACTTGACCCATGTCCAGACAATGTTTTAACCTGAAGCTACATCAACACCCTGTAAGACACCCTGTAATCTGAATCTACCCATGCTATGATGTATCTGGTCAGTATACACAGTCTATATGACCAGTTGACCCATGTCCAGACAATGTTTTAACCTGAAGCTACATCAAACACCCTGTAATCTAAATCTACCCATGCTATGATGTATCTGGTCAAAATACACAGTCTATTTGACCACTTGACCCATCTCAAGAGGAGGACTTTAACCAGAAACAACACAAAACACCCCAAGACACCCTGTAATCTAAATCTACCCATGCTATGATGTATCTGGTCAGTATACACAGTCTATTTGACCACTTGACCCATCTCAAGAGGAGGACTTTAACCAGAAACAACACAAAACACCCTTAAGACACCCTGTAATCTAAATATACCCATGCTATGATATATCTGGTCATGCTGGTCAGTATACATAGTCTATTTGACCACTTGACCCATCTCAAGAGGATGACTTTAACCAGAAACAACACAAAACACCCTTAAGACACCCTGTAATCTAAATCTACCCATGCTATGATATATCTGGTCAGTATACACAGTCTATTTGACCACTTGACCCATCTCAAGAGGAGGACTTTAACCAGAAACAACACAAAACACCCTGAAGACACCCTGTAATCTAAATCTACCCATGCTATGATGTATCTGGTCAGTACACATAGTCTATTTGACAACTTGACCCATCTCAAGAGGAGGACTTTAACCAGAAACAACACAAAACACCCTTAAGACACCCTTCATACACCCTGTAATTTAAATCTACCCATGCTATGATATATCTGGTCAGTATACAATGTCTATTTGACCACTTGACCCATCTCAAGAGGAGGACTTTAACCAGAAACAACACAAAACACCCTTAAGACACCCTGGAGACACCCTGTAATCTAAATCTACCCATGCCATGATGTATCTGGTCAGTATACAATGTCTATTTGACCACTTGACCCATCTCAAGAGGAGGACTTTAACCAGAAACAACACAAAACACCCTTAAGACACCCTGTAATCTAAATCTACCCATGCTATGATGTATCTGGTCAGTATACAATGTCTATTTGACCACTTGACCCATCTCAAGAGGAGGACTTTAACCAGAAACAACACAAAACACCCTTAAGACACCCTGGAGACACCCTGTAATCTAAATCTACCCATGCCATGATGTATCTGGTCAGTATACAATGTCTATTTGACCACTTGACCCATCTCAAGAGGAGGACTTTAACCAGAAACAACACAAAACACCCTTAAGACACCCTGTAATCTAAATCTACCCATGCTATGATGTATCTGGTCAGTATACAATGTCTATTTGACCACTTGACCCATCTCAAGAGGAGGACTTTAACCAGAAACAACACAAAACACCCTTAAGACACCCTGTAATCTAAATCTACCCATGCTATGATGTATCTGGTCAGTATACACAGTCTATTTGACCACTTGACCCATCTCAAGAGGAGGACTTTAACCAGAAACAACACAAAACACCCTTAAGACACCCTGTAATCTAAATCTACCCATGCCGCGATGTATCTGGTCAGTATACACAGTCTATTTGACCACTTGACCCATCTCAAGAGGAGGACTTTAACCAGAAAAAACACAAAACACCCTTAAGACACCCTGTAATCTAAATCTACCCATGCTATGATGTATCTGGTCAGTATACACAGTCTATTTGACCACTTGACCTATCTTAAGAGGAGGACTTTAACCAGAAACAACACAAAACACCCTTAAGACACCCTGTAATCTAAATTTACCCATGCCATGATGTATCTTGTCAGTATACACAGTCTATTTGACCACTTGACCCATCTCAAGAGGAGGACTTTAACCAGAAACAACACAAAACACCCTTAAGACACCCAGTAATCTGAATCTACCCATGCTATGATGTATCTGGTCAGTATACATAGTCTATTTGACCACTTGACCCATCTCAAGAGGAGGACTTTAACCAGAAACAACACAAAACACCCTTAAGACACCCTGTAATCTAAATCTACCCATGCTATGATGTATCTGGTCAGTATACATAGTCTATTTGACCACTTGACCCATCTCAAGAGGAGGACTTTAACCAGAAACAACACAAAACACCCTGGAGACACCCTGTAATCTAAATCTACCCATGCTATGATGTATCTGGTCAGTATACACAGTCTATTTGACCACTTGATCCATCTCAAGAGGAGGACTTTAACCAGAAACAACACAAAACACCCTTAAGACACCCTGGAGACACCCTGTAATCTAAATCTACCCATGCTATGATGTATCTGGTCAGTTTACATAGTCTATTTGACCACTTGACCCATCTCAAGAGGAGGACTTTAACCAGAAACAACACAAAACACCCTTAAGACACCCTGTTATCTAAATCTACCCATGCCATGATGTATCTGGTCAGTATACATAGTCTATTTGACCACTTGACCCATCTCAAGAGGAGGACTTTAACCAGAAACAACACAAAACACCCTGGAGACACCCTGTTATCTAAATCTACCCATGCTATGATGTATCTGGTCAGTATACATAGTCTATTTGACCACTTGACCCATCTCAAGAGGAGGACTTTAACCAGAAACAACACAAAACACCCTTAAGACACCCTGGAGACACCCTGTAATCTAAATCTACCCATGCTATGATGTATCTGGTCAGTATACACAGTCTATTTGACAACTTGACCCATCTCAAGAGGAGGACTTTAACCAGAAACAACACAAAACACCCTGAAGACACCCTGAAATCTAAATCTACCCATGCTATGATGTATCTGGTCAGTATACATAGTCTATTTGACCACTTGACCCATCTCAAGAGGAGGACTTTAACCAGAAACAACACAAAACACCCTTAAGACACCCTGTAATCTAAATCTACCCATGCAATGATGTATCTGGTCAGTATACATAGTCTATTTGACCACTTGACCCATCTCAAGAGGAGGACTTTAACCAGAAACAACACAAAACACCCTTAAGACACCCTGGAGACACCCTGTAATCTAAATCTACCCATGCTATGATGTATCTGGTCAGTATACACAGTCTATTTGACAACTTGACCCATCTCAAGAGGAGGACTTTAACCAGAAACAACACAAAACACCCTGAAGACACCCTGAAATCTAAATCTACCCATGCTATGATGTATCTGGTCAGTATACATAGTCTATTTGACCACTTGACCCATCTCAAGAGGAGGACTTTAACCAGAAACAACACAAAACACCCTTAAGACACCCTGTAATCTAAATCTACCCATGCAATGATGTATCTGGTCAGTATACATAGTCTATTTGACCACTTGACCCATCTCAAGAGGAGGACTTTAACCAGAAACAACACAAAACACCCTTAAGACACCCAGTAATCTGAATCTACCCATCCTATGATGTATCAGGTCAATATACATAGTCTATATTAATCGCATCTGGACCAGACAATCTAGTGATTGATATTATGAGTAACGACAACAGGACACACTCAGCGTTATTCCAATAGTCTGTAAATAATCGCATCTGGACCAGACAATCTAGTGAATGATATTACAAATAACGACGACAGGCCACACTCAGCAATATTCCAAAAGTCTGTAAATAATCGCATCTGGACCAGACAATCTAGTGATTGATATTATGAGAAACAACGACAGGCCACACTCAGCAATATTCCAATAGTCTGTAAATAAATCGCATCTGGACCAGACAATCTAGTGATTGATATTACGAGTAACGACAAGAGGCCACACTCAGCAATATTCCAAAAGTCTGTAAATAATCGCATCTGGACCAGACAATCTAGTGATTGATATTATGAGTAACGACGACAGGCCACACTCAGCAATATTCCAATAGTCTGTAAATAAATCGCATCTGGACCAGACAATCCAGTGATTGATATTACCAATAACGACGACAGGCCACACTCAGCAATATTCCAATAGTCTGTAAATAAATCGCATCTGGACCAGACAATCTAGTGATTGATATTACGAGTAACGACAAGAGGCCACACTCAGCAATATTCCAAAAGTCTGTAAATAATCGCATCTGGACCAGACAATCTAGTGATTGATATTACGAGTAACGACAAGAGGCCACACTCAGCAATATTCCAAAAGTCTGTAAATAATCGCATCTGGACCAGACAATCTAGTGATTGATATTATGAGAAACAACGACAGGCCACACTCAGCAATATTCCAACAGTCTGTAAATAATCACATCTGGACCAGACAATCCAGTGATTGATATTACGAGTAACGACGACAGGCCACACTCAGCAATATTCCAATAGTCTGTAAATAAATCGCATCTGGACCAGACAATCTAGTGATTGATATTACGAGTAACGACAAGAGGCCACACTCAGCAATATTCCAAAAGTCTGTAAATAATCGCATCTGGACCAGACAATCTAGTGATTGATATTATGAGAAACAACGACAGGCCACACTCAGCAATATTCCAATAGTCTGTAAATAATCGCATCTGGACCAGACAATCTAGTGATTGATATTATGAGAAACAACGACAGGCCACACTCAGCAATATTCCAACAGTCTGTAAATAATCACATCTGGACCAGACAATCCAGTGATTGATATTACGAGTAACGACGACAGGCCACACTCAGCAATATTCTAATAGTCTGTAAATAAATCGCATCTGGACCAGACAATCTAGTGATTGATATTACGAGTAACGGCCCACGCTTTGTGGGTACAACGACACACTCAGCAATATTCCAATAGTCTGTAAATAATCACATCTGGACCAGACAATCTAGTGATTGATATTACGAGTAACGGCCCACGCTTTGTGGTTACGACAGTCTATCAACCTGGCCACTGAGTTGGTCAGTTGTAACCCCAAATCCCCTCAGGGTGTCAGGATATAATACAACATGTCCTGAATACAAGAACTTTCAACATACTTGATGACTAGATTAAGACACAAAGATAGTACAATCTATCAGATCTATAGTGACATAAGACTCACAAATGATATACAAATTTATCTATAAAGAAAAGTAAATATTTAATACATTTGAGGGTGTATGTTCTTGTAGACATATACCTAAAGTTATCTTTTTATGGCTATTTCAGGTTAGTATGGGTGTTGTCGCAGCACTGTTCCAGCTATAATTATGACGGTGTCTGTAAATAATTGAGTCTGGATCAGGCAATCAAGTGGTCAACACCATGAGCATCGATAAACTTAAAGGAGATTCAAGGACATGCAATCAACCAAGTCACTAAGCCTGACCACCAGATCCATTTCGTTGCCTCTTACGACAAGAATCGGTTGCTGGGGACATATATGTGATATGACTACATGGTGCAGTGGGGTGGGGTGATATGGCTACATAGTGGGGTTGGGTGGTGGTATGGCTACATAGTGGGGTGGGGTGGTGGTATGGCCACATGGTGGGGTGGGGTGCTGGTATGGCCACATAGTGGGGTGGGGTGGGATGGGTGGGGTGGTGGTATGGACACATGGTGGGATGGGGTGAGGAGAGGTGAGATGGTGTGTGTGTGTGTGTGTGTGTGTGTGTGTGTGTGTGTGTGTGTGTGTGTGAGAGAGAGAGAGAGATCATAAGCCTCAAACCACAATTACTTTCCTTCTTTGTTATCTACAGTGACATGACAGCCCACCATACTTAATATCGGTCATAGGCTGTTCTGTTGACCGACCCGCCACTTGCCACTAAAACCGCAAAATTATCAGCCTGGATCCACCATCTAGCAAAGAACCAATGTTAGTCCAGTAAACCACTTCTGTATTTCATTTGCCTATTTTAAATACATACATGCATGTTTTTATCAAAATAATTGAATTAAAGTCCACATTTTTCAAGAAAAATGAAAATTGAAGGTATTAAATGTTCATTCCTATAAAAGCCTTGAGTTTACTCATTAAACTGATGAGTTGGGCAGGTAGCTATGCACAGTTAGTGAGTAAGTGAGTGAGTATGGTTTTACGCCGCTTTGAGCAATATTCCAGCAATGTCAAGGAGGGGGACACCAGAAATGGGCTTCACACATTGTACCCATGTCGGGAATCGAACCCTGGTCTTCGGCGCGACGAGCAACGCTTTAACTACCGGGCGACCCGACCGCCCCTGCTGTGTACAGCCAATCAAGTGCAGCGAAGCCACCAGCTGTGACCACTCTCAGCAATACACCCAAAAGTGTCAGACTGTGTGAACAGCTCAACTGCAATTTGGACTGCTGGCACAAGATGTGTAGATCTTGAGAGTTTCTAATAAAACAATCATGATGAAAGTCAGTCGCAAGAGAATCAAGTCACAATTCCGCAAGGGCCACACTGCCTGGAACAAAGGTCTCACCTTTCAATCTGAAAAGTCAGAAAGTGCCTCTCCACCCAAGATACACATGACTGTCACTAGGATGAGTGCTGAAGACTTCTCACTGGTTACCAAGTCGAGGTTGGATGGCACTGGGCTGTCGACAACAGGCTGTGACAGCATCTCTACCTCTCTGTGGCTGTTGTGTCCTACTGCGGCCAGCACAAGCAAGACCTGAAACGAGAGTCAAGCAAAGATGACTTGGAGGGTATGCAACAATGAAAAGATGGCTGAAGCATGTAACACAGCTCTGTGACTGCATTCTTTGAAGTCCACTAACTGAACTTTACACAGGATATGGCTGAAAAAGTAGAATTAGTGAAGGAAGTTAATCATATGAGCAACGAATGGGAGATAAATATTGCTATGGATGGCCCATACAACTCAACAGCAATAACAAGTAGGAAGAAGCCTGGGCAGAATGCCTCACAAGCAATCGACATTGCCAGCGAAAACGTAACTAATAAGAGATTCATCATCAGCGTGTCATTCCAGAATAAGCTCTGCTGGACTGGTGCTTGACTGAAAAGAAAAGGAATGGTACTAGCTAGATCAAAGTGTACTCCAGGGTATTGTTTACCATTTTTTATGTCTTGACTATTCTACAAGCAGGAACAGCTCTCAATCACAATGTCTTTTTACATATTATATCAATGTAACTGCTTGCTGTGTTCAGTTATTTTTAAAAGAACATTTTTAAAGATCATAAGATATCACTGAGGCAAAGCAGAGACATGAAAATAGATCATATATATGTTATATGCAAAGTTACCATGGTTACTGTTAAAGCCTGTTTTTTTTCCAAACTATAGTCAATGGCCACTTCTATATATTCAAATTATCTGAACAAATAACACACGGGTAATGGCTAAAAATAGCATGCGTGACTTTTGGCTGGCAATATTAGAGCGATCATCCGAGTTTCAGCTTCCCTGTGTATTTTCTGAGAAAAAGTCAAAACAATCCAAATTCACGCTGGATACACTTACGGTGACTCTACGGATAAAATAATGCAGTTCATTCACAATCAGCGGTCATAATACATCAACAACCATTGCTCCATTATTTCCTGAGAGGAGAGAGGATTGACAACAATAAGCATGGTGCCTGTTGGTGCACTCGAATGCAATTCTTGCTAGATCCGTGTCTACAAGTTAATTTATACATTCAAAATATCTTTTAAAAGTATTAATAGTGAAGATACTACCTTATGTATCCACGGGCTGATAACGTATCCCATGCCACATCATATTTCGCTTATAAGACAGCAAATATCATCAATAACATTTCTAAAAATCACTTCCTGGCCGCCATTTTATGGTTCAAGAAAGTTCAAGGTCGCGTTGGATGGCAACTGCGCTGGCCGCTTGACACGGGGCGAAAGCTTGGCCCCGTTTGGGACGCAACAATAGCGTGGAACTAGTTTTCCATGCGGTTCACAAAAAGCTCCATTACTTTGCATGCTACTCGCGGTATGGATACTGTATAAATGTGTAGGTAAAGATACATCGATGCGAGGAGCTTATTAAAACTGGTACCAAGAACTCGTTGCACCACACACAGAAGGAAACCAGTCCGGTTGAAACCTCCAAGAGCAAATCTTACTCTAAATCGTTCACAGACGGCCTGAAGATGCTGACGTCAGAGCTAAAAACATGACGTCATTGCCTTTGTCCTTGCATGTTAGAAAACTTGGCAGTGACTCAGAACACAGTGGCATCAACTCAAATCTCAGCTTGGCTTGAAAACCAGTAAACTTTAAAGAAATATTTTCAATCAAAAGGCCCCTGTTTCACTTACTTGAAAGGAACAATGGATTTATGTTACCACAAATTTTAGCTTTCATTGTGTGATGGAAAAGGGTTCTGCATTATGTGGAGAAATTATAGGATGTGACATAACCTGACTAATGATGGCGTGTTGACAGAAATTGAACAGACAACAGAAGTAAACTGAAAAAAATATTGACCCTATGCAGAAAAAGAAACTTTTAGTTTAAATACTAATGGCAATCTTGATATGAATTAAGTGCCAAAAATATTTTGGTTTGCTATAAATCTACTGAGCCACTAAGCTTAATGTTTTTCTCAGTGCGGCATAGATTTTCTAAATAAATGATCATGGTTTTAATGTTGCATCAAAAGTTTGAAGCATGGAGATTCAGTACAAATTGAAACCCGTGAAGATCCGGCTGGAGTAGAATAGATCTTCAGAAACCCATGCTTGCTGTAAAAGGCGACTAACGGGATCGGGTGGTCAGGCTCGATGACTTGGTTGATGCATGCCATCGTTACCAATTGCGTGGAACAATGCTCATGATGTCAATCACTGGATTGTCTGGTCCAGACTCGATTATTTAGAGACTGCCCTCATATAGCTGGAATGTCGAGTTAAACAACAGACAAAAAAATAAACAGTACAAATTGAGAAATATGCATACAATTTCCACTAGATCATATATGGATGTGTGTGTGACAGCCCTGTAGACCAAATATCTGGTTCTTAATTATCTACCCTGATTACCTGCAGGATGCCGAGCTATTTTTCTCACGCACGTTTTCATAAGATATGAAAAGTGAAGGTTGTGCGAGAATTGTCACATGTAGGTAAGCAGAAACATTGAGAATCTGCGTTCTGTGATTTGTTTGTATATTTTTCATGAAATAATATTGTGGTTGTGCGTGATTTTGCGTCAGTCATGACGTCACGCAAGCCGGAAACTTTGAAATTTCTGTTGAATATACCAAATCATTCCAATGTATCTATTTTTAATTCCCTAATTCTTGCTACGATTCTCTTCCCATGCATAGTCTGAAAATGTTGCCCTTATGCATGTAACGAACAGACGAATGGATAGCTCAAAATAGGAGAAAATGTTACACTGTGTAAAATCTGAATTTTGCTTTGTTTACATTTCTAACAAGTGAAGTCTTCCCCCGAGTACAGCGTTCGTTTCCAAACCTAATTCACAATGCTTGATTTCTTCTAGATACTCTGTATTGGTGACAATTAACGACCAAGGACCAAAGCATTCAAGGATGTATGTATGGCAGCCGAGTTTTGAAGTATACGTGATGTAATAGGCGTCTCATAATTGAACATAGGTGAAACGTGATTTTGTAAACACTATCCAATATACGGATGGTGTAAAGTTTACTTCGGCGTTCGTGTGTGTGTATTTTCCAAAACATTCTAAACGATTCTAGGGTTATCGGCGACGTTTTGGAATGATCTGTGATCACTAATTGGCTCTTTTTGAAATTCATTTCTCCCAGTAGTTATCCGAAATTTAAATTTCAAAACATGCTGTAAATAACGCTGTGAATGGTGATTTACTAATGTGTAAAAAATGGCGTGATTTACCATGTAGCTAATTTACAGAGGTCATTTTCAGTTATTATACTTTGCTTAGGATGACAGTGGATGTTATCACAAAACAGGGAAATTCACACAGAATTCAAACCTGTGAAGTGTAATTGTGTGCCTGATGTGCATTGAATTTCATTCGACTTTAAAGTGAGGTTTGAAGAGGAAAGACATATCATTTTGAGATACAGTAATCTAGACTTGCCAAATCTTATAGACTTGCATGGGCTGTATTGGATATATTTGTTTTAGGGTCTGCATTGGAGACGAACACGCTAGATGAACTGCCAGTGTGCCTGGCCCAGACTCAGCTGTTTATAGGCAGCTTGAGATAGCAGTGTTGCAGGCATCAACTCGTGTGTTTTTTAATTTTTAAGAATATTTTTCACGCAAGCCCACTGACATACCCAATCTTCCTGAGAGGACATTGTCCACTTTCCAGCATCAAAGTCTAGCAGAAACCTGGGTCAACTTCATTAAACTTTTAAGGAGAAATCTGCCTTATATGTTCATTGATTAGTTTTATTAGTTTCATTAAAATCAGTAAACGCACTATCATGTCTCTGGATTGCTGGGTCATCCATCACTTGATTGTCTGGTCACCCGATCCAGTGAATGTTACTTACATGTACTACCAGCACATATTTATTAGCAACTGTGAGCTGCTACTAGCAGGTACAAAGACGTTCTACGTCTCTGTAGACTAACATTTAGTCTAGCGAACAGCAAATTACTAGCATGTCTTTGATTTTCATTGGTCAACGAGTCAACGTAGATGGTAGGCAAGTCGGGCTCTGTCTCAACAGAAAAAATAAAAGATTATCGCAGGGCAGCCTCAGTCTGTAACCAGCTCGCAAGACCGTCAACACTCTTTTGCTTAGATGTAGAAATAACACTTGAAATATACTGTTGTTGGTCAATAATTATAAATAGAATCTACATTATTATGAATTAAATTATAACCACTGATCATTACATCACCAACTGGTCACATGACCTCATCATATGCATGCATCCGCCGCCATGATGTGTAAGGTCACGTCATTTCTACTACTCATCCTGGGTCTGTTTAGACTAGTTTATTGTGTCTGTTCTCTAAAGTAAGCACATCAAACGTGAGTCTTTTCATTATGATAAATACTCTTCAAAATTCCTGCCATTGCCACAAATGGTAACGTAAGGTCGTGCGTGTTTTCTTCTGGCAGCCTTGCATTGTTTTCTGTCCCTCCAAGCGGCGTCGGTGTGCACAAGCAAGGTCGCATCATAAATGCCGTTTATTCTAAAACAGAGTGTTTTACGGTTACAGCATGGCCTTGTAACTATTGTATATTGGATTGTACTTGCCTGGTGTCAAGCGCCTATCTTTTGAGATCAATCAATGGCGTCCAAAGACGACTGGGTCTCGTTTCTGTTAGCCTAGTAGTAATTACCAGTAATTAGTGCTTACGTATATACCATTATATATCGTATTTTGTTTACATTTCAGCAGTATGCATCGGAGGCAAGCTCTGAAGTCCCAAACAACTGAAAATATATTCTCTGAACACCTGCATCCCTTCTGTCAACAGAAACCAAATTTATCCTTTTATACCTGACTACACTGTGTTGTCATAAGATTATAACTACAGTATCTAACTAACTGGAATCATCTGGTAACTGAATGTCTGAAGTATAAATACCATTTTATTAATGAATATATTTCCATTTAACTCAACCTTAACAGATAGAGTTGTGTGTAGGGTGTAATGTTTGAATGTTTTTGTTGACAGTGTCAGACACTACATCTGTCTATGACCAATGAACAGAACTTGAATCCCTTATCATAAACAGCAGTGAACACTGCGGCAACATCATGCTTTAGTAAGTATAATTTAATCCGCAAATATAATGTCATTGTTCACACATTGTAGGACATAGTGTGGTTTCCAAATAGTGATCTATTTGACAGGGTTATATATTATAGATTTTCTTATTCACTTTGTCTACTGGCCTGCATTAGGTCTTGCCATTGTCATGTTATTTCTCATACATTCCTAAATAAGATTTGCCTACAGGTACAGTACCAGGGCCACTTAATTAGGACTAGGAGCCCAATGTGCTCATTTATCAGTGTTATAGTCAATTTGTGTTGTACCCAAATAGAGCGAATAAAAACAATGGCTATACAAATGTCCTGTAAGAACCAAGGACTAGCAGATGCTGCTTTATGTCCTATACATTGAAACCCACTCTTTTAAATTTGAAAAAGATCCTCCCAGGATGCATCTTCCCATGTCCTTCTACTATTATTGTTACTGTAGTTCTTGGCATTGATCATGGGCACCTCTTCAGCATGTTTAGTTACAAATTTACCCCTGAAGATCGAGATTAGAATAGGTCTTCAGCAACTATGCTTGTCAAAAGAGGCGAGTAACATGATCGAGGGGTCAGGCTAGCTGACTTGGTTGATGCATGTCATCATATCTCAGTTGTGTGGGTTGATGCTCATGATGTCAGTCACTGGATTGTCTGGTTCAGATTTGACTGTTTACAGGCAGCTGTCAAAGCTGGAATATTGCCGAGTGTGGCATTAAACAACAAACAAACAAAGCTATACAAGTTTTTTTAATATTCTTATACTCTAGTATTATAATGTGATATTTTATTGATTGTAATGAATACAGAATGTTTGCATCAGTTTGTATGAGACACAAACCAAGATTCCCACAACTATTTGCACATGCTTTGTCATAACACAATTAATATTGTATCATCAGGTTATGTATGTTTGTAAAAAGTGCTAGAAAGTGTCAGCTTTAGTTGTAAAATCAGTATGTTCCTCACAACAGACCTAAATGTGCACTACCTTGTTGTGGTATTTTTTGTTGAACTCATCTCTGTCTTTCTAAAGTTATATTTGTGCAAGTTTCATACTGGTGTATTAATAATATTACCTGACAAGTGTCAATTCTACTCATCATAATCTGAAATAAGTGTCTCCCATCTAATAGTAATGGAAAAAGGGAATACGAGCGAATCACCATCACGTTAATCGGTGCTGGGGATGTAAGCATAAAGTATATGTTTTTTATTAATATTATAAATATTAATGCTCTTCGCACATCGATTGGAAGCCTGGTCACTACAGGGTTTGCTCAAACCTGGTAAAACTAGG